GGCACTGTGTGGCTAATAGAAGGGTATGTTCAGTAATGTTCAGGGTTTTGGTAAAATCACTTGTCTTTTTGCTTTTAAAGTCAATCTATGCATATATGTCACTCTGTATGTGTGTGTGTGTGTGTGTGTGTGTGTGTGTGTATATATATATATATAATCAATTTCTTAGTTTGTGACTTGAAGACCTTCCACTTCCCTCTTTGGTTTCTTTGAAAGTAAATTACTGAAAATTAATGCTAGATAGTGTCAAATCAAACAGCCTCTCTAATATTGCAAATGCCAAATACAAAATGGCTTTGATCTTAGAAACATGCATTACTATGGCTAAAGCTACATAATATCCCCAATAGGCAGTGCAGTTTCAACATATAGACCTTCAAAAACCAGTGTTGTGCAATTACATGCATTAGTTATACATTTATACGTCCAAAAGAAATTACCTGATCATATAGTACAAGTATTTGCAGGTTAGGGAACCAGTTATGGGCAATATTAGCAAACAATCAATAATTCGTCAGACAAGAGGGAAGCAAACTAGTGATTTATTTTTTTTTTTTATATTTTTTTTTTCATTATTTTACATGTATTTTTAGATATTTATTCTTTAGCAATCTTAAGTCTTAGTGCTCTTAGACTCTTCTTTTTTAAATTAATTAAATATTTATTCTTAGTGCTCTTCAAAGTATCTGTGTGTGTATGTGTATATATTTTTTTTTTTCCTCTATTTGTTTTATAATTTTATATATTTTTTTCATTATTTTAAATTCATTTTTAATTATTTATTCATAGTGCTCTTAAGTCATTCAGTGTGTTTTCCCCAACCTTTATATTTATTTGTTTTGAAAAAATTTTTTTCATTTTATTAACTTTGTATTTATTTTATTTAAAAATGTTCAAATTGTTTCTTACATAATTTTATCATTCTATTTTGATGGGTATGTTTTATTTTTTTTATTATTAAATTAGATTTATTTAAAAAAATATATTTTTGTTTGTTTGGTTTTGGTGGGAACTTTATTTTATTATTTGGTTTTTGGTAAAGTCACCAAATTATTTGATTTCTTCTAGTGTAAGAGTCTGTTAATTCTGATCCGTTCTTGGTGCTTTTAAAAGTCTGAGATTTTTTTCATCTTTATTTATTTATTTTCAGACTTCTTTTTTTTTTTTTTTTTTTTTTTAACATAGTGTTGTTATTTTTCTGGGCCTTTCATCTTTATTTTTGTTTTATTTTTTATTTTTAAATGTATTTATTTTTGGTGTGTACTTCATTCTATTTAATTTTTTTGTGTTCAGTAATGTTCAGGGTTTTGGTCAAATCACTTGAGTTATCTTATTGCTTTTAGTATAACAGATGGTTAATTCCATTTACTGCTCTTAAAAGTAATTCAGTGTGTTAACTTCATAATTAACCAGCCAAGATAAACAGTGCTAAATCCATTAATTCTGTTTTAATGAGGACGACTCTAAACTCCAGGGCATTCATGCTTAGTTTAACACAAACTGTCACCAGTAATACAGCCAGTATCCTGCAGTTTCAGGACGCGCACATGTGCAGAGCTTCAGTTCATTAGGACACCCCCCGTTTGCCACAGGCTGCGTTTGTGTTCATGCATCCCGCTGGGAACGTGTGGCGGAAACGTGGAGTCCATTCACACAGCAGCACGTTCAGAGTCGCGGGGAGTTTGTGTTCCTGCAGGAAGCGGCTCTCATTCAGAGATTCAGCAGCATCTGCACAGCACATTTATCAACAGACCTCAGCCGGAGTTACACACACACACACACACATGCAGAGAGACAGAGCGGGTTTTTTTTATGTAGTTACAGCTACACTAGTTTGTTTATAGCCAGGCTTTGTTACTGTTAGTTTTGTTTGTTTGTTTGTGCTAAAAGCCAGTTGAAAAAATATACACTGAATTTTTTTATTATTGTTTTATATTTTAGAAATTAGAAACGGTAAACAAGCCTGGGTGATTTATTTATTTGTTTTTTTATTTTACAAATGTAATATTTTTAAATTGTTTAAACTTTATTTTAGTTTGTAATTTTGAATTACAAAATTTTATATTATAAGTAATATAGGTATAATAAAATTAATTAAATAAAAATCAAAAATAGTGTGTAATATATATATATATATATATATATATATAACTTTTTTTGTAAAATGTGTGTATATTTAAACATTTTCTAATTGCTTCTTACATCATTTTATTATTATTTTTATTTTAATGGGTATTTCATATATGCGAGTGTGTATTTAACTTGATATATATTCTTATATTAATAAAATTATATATCTTTTATATCATGGATTAGATATAAAATATTTTATTAATAAAAAATGTAATTTCTCTTTCAAATTCAGTGATTCCATTTTTATGTATTCATATCCATCAGTTCATTTTAAGATGATCTGCATTGGCTGGCTAACTGGCTGACAGTCATGCGTCTGCTGTTGTCTGGATGTTGTCCTGCTCTCACTGATCTCTCATTGTCTCGGCTCGTCTGAGATGTTTTACCCAGAGAAATGCCCAGTCAGGACTTTCAGCTGGCAGCGGGACGCTTACTGGAAACGCCAGGCGCTCGAATGAAAACAGATCCATTATAATTGCATAATGGTTTGTTAAAGGCCAAAGACGTGGCGGGGGTTTCTGAGGCCTGTGTTGACATTGGAGGGTTATTGTTGTTGTTTCCATCTATCTGCATTGGCTGGCTAACTGGCTGACAGTCATGCGTCTGCTGTTGTCTGGATGTTGTCCTGCTCTCACTGATCTCTCATTGTCTCGGCTCGTCTGAGATGTTTTACCCAGAGAAATGCCCAGTCAGGACTTTCAGCTGGCAGCGGGACGCTTACTGGAAACGCCAGGCGCTCGAATGAAAACAGATCCATTATAATTGCATAATGGTTTGTTAAAGGCCAAAGACGTGGCTTGTGTTTCTGAGGCCTGTGTTGACATTGGCGGTTTATTGTTTTTGTTTCCATCTCATAACTTTGTAGAATTCACTGCTTTTTTTGCATGTCACACATTATTGCAAAATTGAACGTCTGAAAATAGTTTACATTTGCGATGGTTTCGATATTTCATGGTGCCAGTGTCTGAAGGCAAAATTGAATCCTGGTTTTTCTCAGACCTCCCATCGCAACAAGAACAAGAGCTGTAATGAAATGTTTAAACTGAGCAAAGATTACATGTTGCATATTAGTTATTTTTATATTTCATTTTTATTAGATTCTTTTATCCTTTACATTTTTTCTTGGAATTAACTTGTATTTTTTAAGATAAAAAAAATACATAAATTATTTATATATGTATATATATAATTTTTTTTTTCTCTAAGTTTATATTGTAAAATGTTTACATTTATTTTTGTTTTTCCTAATGTTTACATTTACTTTTCATTTTTTAAGAGGGTTTTATTTAAATTTATTTATATTTTATCTTTTAACTTATTTTCTCTTATATATTTAAATTAGTCTGGCATCAGTGCAAAAAAAAGGTTTCATATTAAAGCACAAGTGATCAAACAAAAATGGTATCGAGCAACAGGTAGTTCAGACTGATTTAGGAGTGAATAAACCACACGTAATGTCATTGTAAAATCATTGTGATTGCATTTGTAACGGTTTCTCTCACTTCATGTGTTGATGACAGATCAACAGAGGTCACATGACCACAGAGGCCAAGCGTGCGGCGAAGATGGAGAAGAAGATGAAGATTCTGCTGGGTGGCTATCAGTCGCGGTCCATGGGTCTGCTCAAACAGCTCAGTGAACTCTGGGATCAGGTGGAACAGGCCAACATGGAGCTCCACACCTTCCAGGAGCTGAAGAAACAGGAAGACCACGCCATTCCACGCAGACAAGAGGTGAACAGCTTTAACTCTAAAGCCTGTGTTATACTTTCCGCGTCCGCGCGGACATCCGCGTGCCTCCCATTTTGCGCGGTCAGTAGGCTACTGCGCATGCGCAGGCTGTGTGAAGAAGCCCGTTGCTACTCGAACCTGTACAATCCATCGATAAAACAATATAAAGACAGCCAGATGTGCAATAACTCTGGGCAATTCTTTGTTCACATGTTTGTTTATTGTTCAAGCCGATCTACTACGCATGTATGGAACACGTCCGCGGAGCGGACCATCAGCGTATGCTTTCGGAAGTGTACGCGTCCGGATTGCTCATGCGGAAAGTATAACACAGGCTTAACTCTATCTATCTGTCTAGTCCTCATTTCTGTCTGTGTCTAGTCCTCATTTCTGTCTGTTACTACATTACATGTTTATACTATATCACTTATACTATATCAACACTTTGTTGTTCCTGTCCAGGCCCTGAGAGAGGACGTCCAGAGACAGCAGGACAGAGAAAAAGAGCTGCAGCAGAGATTCGCTGACCTGCTGCTGGAGAAACAGACGCTCTCGCAGAAGTTTTGAACAAGACATATATCCCAAACATCTCTGCACCTCCTGTAGTGCTGTTTATGTGCTCATCCCGCTTCAGCATGCTTTACTGTCTGGATCCCCGTGTTTCTGCTGTAATCAACTGCTTTCAGTTTCTTAATGTTGACTTTGTGTTTCTGTTGCTGTTCACAAGAACCGCCGGGATTTCATTCACACAGAATTTTGTTTTTAATGTTTTTCATATTGACCTTGTAAGTGTAAATATCGTCTGTTTTGCGGTATGGATTTTCCCATGTCAAGCCATTTTTAGGTTTGTGCTGAATATGAGATGCTCCTTTTCAGGTGTAAATTGGAATAATGACTTGCATTGAAAATGTACATCATTTACAAAATAAAAAGCAGCAGCAGTTAATCTTAGCTTTGAATGTCTGTTTTGTGAATGAATGATTGGACACAAAATATAAAAAATTAACACACACCCATATAATTTTTTGTCTGTTTATGTGGTTACAAGTACTATTTTATATATATATTTATAATTGAATCACATTCACACATTTATGTGTCCAAATACTTGTTTTGGTTTATATTTGATAAACAGGTGCTGATGTTTCATGCTCAGTTCAGGATCTCTTAATAAGTGGCTGGTTTTGCTGAAATGAAAGAATCAACAATGAACTGTGACTGTGGTCTTCTGCTCTTGAGGGGCCGTGAACTCCATGCACTTCATGATCACTTCATGCAATCCAACATTTCTTCACTTTAAAGTCCCATTGTTCGACAAGATTGAAAAATCTCGAACACTTTGAGTTGTTTTGGAAGTGAACTGGTCTGAATGAAAGTGGTGTGATTGGAAAGTTCTGTGTGGAAACGACACAACGCTATCAGATGTCTGTGAGACGCAGCGTTTGTCTGAATGCCATTGTTTTCAAACGCTTTTAATAAATGTAGTTCTGTGTGGCGAGCACAGAAACCATTGTTTTTCTGGTTCAGTGCCATATGAGTATTTCCAACCATCTTTACCTCAATAAAGCACTTCAAAGCATGTGCTGGTATTTACATTTTAGTTTAAACTCTTTAGTTGAAGTGTCCAATAAGAATCACTTTAAAAGCGTAGCTGATGTATTTTTTAATAAAACAAAATTGCAAAAGATCAAAAAGATCTTAATTTATGTTCCAAAGATGAACGGGTTTGGAACGAAATGAGGGTGAGTAATTAATGACAATTTTTATTTTTGGGTGAACTATACCTTTAAAAAATATCTGAATCTGAAGTGCTTTTGATCACATGATCAGCTGAACAAAGGCATTTTCACACAAGATGTTTAAATGGATATATATGATTTAATTCTTCAGGTTTTTTGTACATTTTTGGATGTTTTTTTTTTTTGGAAGGTGCATTTGCATAATTTCATAAAAAAAATACAAATACATTTTTCAAAAAAATAAAGTAAAATATTAGAAAAAAATATTTACAAAATATTAGCTTATATATATATATATATATATATATATACAGGGCTAAATGCAGGTCTAGCTCTAAAATAATCCGGGTTTGAACCCATGTTACGTTGCATACAAAAAACGGACACCGCTAGACTGTCATGTTTCTTATAAAACCATCAAAGGCTGACCTTCAAAAACAAGACCAAAACAAGCATCAGAAATGGACAAATGAGGCCATGAGCACATGTTTGCCAGAATGACTTACTCTGAATCGGACATTTCCTTCTCGAGCTGGAAAAGAAATAAATTGAAAGAAGATGAACAAATACACTCTTTTGTTTAGAAAGCTCCTTTTCATGACCAAGTCTGGCTCCAAGAGTCCAAAACCAAATCCAAAACATCTTCCACCATAATCACATCTATAGCTATATGAGTCTTCTGCGTCTAAATTGAAACATATTGCATATGGTGACATTGAAAAATCCAATGCATTTAAATTACACTGTACTGCTTTTGTTCAGGAATGAATGGCTACTTATTTCTGCATTATCAGTGTAATTCCTCATGATTTCAAACACTGCGTTTTTATTCTTTGTCTACAGAGATGGATCTGTTTCACTCTTGACGTTTTAAGCGTCTCAGTGAAGGTCAGGATAGTTGGTTCGTCAGTATACGGTGGAGCAAGCGATGGCCGTGTTTGGTTTGGACGCTGCTGAATAGCATTGCATGATGCATAGGAAATTAAAAATGCAGAGCTGTAATTTGCAGGAGAGTAAGATGGATTTAAAGGCTCGTTTTGCTGCTTCACTTCCAAACGTCCAAATATGTCACAGCTGAATGAGAGCTGGGCTTTTTCTGTGCCAGCGCCGTGACCCGCAGAAACAGCGTTTATCACATCCAAGTGTCACAGAAGCCCTGCATCTGACTCTGCATGTGTGCTCTTCAGTTATAGTGTGATTTGAGAGGGTTTGATGAGAGCGAGGGCCGGGTCACCAGATGAGAAATACTCTGATGAGGGTTTGCTGAATGTAACGCTCAATTATTTCATCGCATCCTTCATGTTCAATATCGGTACGACAAGATGATATGAAGTTAAATTATGGCAAAAAAAAAACAATTATGAGATATTTTGAGATAAAAAGTCATAATTATTAGAAAAAGTCAAAATGATGACAGTTGAAATTAGGAAATACAAACTCAGTTATGACCAAAACAAACTTTTTGTCATGTTTTAATTTTTATGTCAATTGACTGTCAATTTACCTCATAATTATGACTTTGGTAGCTCACAATTTCTACTTTATATATCATAATTATGATTTTTTTTCTGGGAGGAAATGTGCTTCCATAAACAAACAAACAAATAATAATAATAACAATATGTATTATATTATGAATATTATTTTTTTATTATTATTTAATTTAATATTTAATAATATAATTTTTTAATACTTTTTTTAAAGAAAAAAAATCATGTTTTGGTCAAAAATCACGACTTTTGGTCGCAAGTCAAAATTACGTAAAAATGTGTGAAATGTTTTAAAAAGTAAAATATGAGAAAGAAAAGTCAAAATTATGACATTAATTATGACATAAAAGGTCAAGATTATGACAAAAAGATTATGAGATAAAACAACATACTAAGAGCAAAATGACATACTACTACTAATAAAAGTACTAATAATTTTGACATAAAAAGTAATAATTGTGACATAAATGTCATAATAATAATGACAAAAATGTACTTTTTATTTCATAATTATGACTTAACAAACAAACAATAATCATCATAAATGCTTATTATAAAAATATAATAATAATAATATCTACCGTCTTATATATTTTATATGTTGTTTGTTATATTATGACATAAACAGTCATTATTATTATGTAAAAAGTTGAAATTATGACAAAACAATTATGAGATACAAAGATGTAATTATGAGATAAACAGTCACAATGATTACAAGATGTCAAAATTATGAGATATAACGGCAAATGAGATATTAAGCAATAATTATGACAAAAAAGTAATAATTATAACAAAAATTCTACTTTTTATGTACATTTTGACTTTGTATATCATAATTATGACTATATGATTATAAAATGATTCTATTTCATAATTATGACTTAGAAAATAGGCTTCCATAAATAAACAAATCATAATCATCATCATAATCATGAATTATTAGAATAATATAAAAATAATATACATGTATTGTCTCATGCATATTATATTTGATTTTATTTCCAGATAAGAAAGAGGGGACAACACTCAGCATTTGTTATGTCAAATACCAGGATCTCTCAGCAGCAGCAGGCCGTGTGTTTTGTTCAGAGGTGTGAGTGTGTCCTGAATGCAGTCATCTAATCAACACTAGTGTGTGAACTGAACCCTGTTCAGCGCTGGCAGACTGACCTGGGAGTGGGACAGAGAGCTGGAGAGGGTCATTTGTGGTCTCTGTGGTCTACGAGTCCAGAATGATTGGGTTCAGTTACAGCCAGGCCTCTCATGACAGTGAACGAGATCCGTCTGTTATCATCAGGAGAGACTGAAACACAAAGTGAGCCAAAAGTGATGAATTACATTTTTTTTTTTAACTAGATTTTTTTTTTTGCATTGTGCATAAGTAACATTTTCTAAGTTTGAACAATTTGAACACATCTGAACAAACAGAAAAGCATCAAAACAGAAAATGATGAGCTATATGCATTAATATATTAATACATTACAAGCTTTCCTCAGGACTCTAAAAGCAGCATAGAGTTGAGCTCTCCAGAGTCTGCAGTAGGTGGCGCTCTGGTCCTAGTCACGACATCTTGACGCTGTCCTTCAATGCTTGTGGTAACAGAGCTCAGCCAAGCTCTTAAACTTTATCTGTGTGTAAAAAAGCTCATGAAAATATTATTTCACAGAGTCAGCAATGTATTACGTGAAATCTGAACAAAAGCAAACCGATGGGCAGCGCTTCAACAGTTTTATGAGTATTAATTAAACTTTCAACAAGCAGTTTAGTTGCTTTCGAAGACAAAATGTGAATGCAAGTGAACTGTAGGCCTACTGCTGGGTTGATTCTGATCTCATAAACACAAGTGAAAGTGATTGCACTACCAGACGGTTATCACTCAAATAACAAGTCAAACAAGAGACCGCCGTCTTTCAGGTGACTTAGAAGTCATTTAATTGCTTGAGCATGATTTAATGCTATAATTTAATGTTTAAGCTATATTTTGGAACCAAATACCATATTCCTTGAACAAGACTTTCACAATAAACAGGGAGTCCTGTAAGTTGTTTTAATTTACTTAGACAGATCAAATGAATGAATGAATGACCGTTCCTGATGTACATTAAAACAACACTTATAATACTTCGAATTTTAATATTTTACACTTAAATCACTTTGGAGTCGATAAGAACATTTTAGAAATTGTATATAATTTGTGTATTATTATTATTATTATTATTATGTTTAATATTTATATATTAATTTACCAATGATTAATATAATAATGATTATATATATATATATATATATATATATTATTCTATTTATAAATTATTCTTTATATTTTTTTCATTAATTGAATAATTGTTTAATATAATTATTATATATTTAAATATATTAGATGCATATAAAATAAAATTAATTTAATATTAATTTAATAATGTATGTGTTTGTATTAATACATTTAATATTATTATATAAATTGAATTTTTTATTGTGTGTATGTATGCGTGTGTGTGTATATATTTTTTTTCTGTAATTTTTTGTAATGCATGCAATGTTTTTATTGCATTATTGTTTTTTTTTGTTTGTTTTTTTTCATACCCGTTTTTTCATTGGTCATTTATAAACCATATTCACTGCTGTGAAGCCAAATACAATTTTATACATTGTGGACAACGGTTCCTAGATAAAATAAACACAATTAGGCACTACATGAATTTTGAAGGAATGCAAAGTCTTAAAAATCAGCACATGCAGAAACGCTGACCCGGAGGACCACCAGAGCATA